ATTGGGGTCAGTGATATCTTTATCGTATCTTATTTTGAAAAGATTTGAAATCATGTCGGTTTATTTTTCGGTTTTTATTTGTTTTTTATAGCAATATCTGGCAACACTGCATCGCCGGCACTTAAATGCAAAAAATATCATGATATTATCTGTCAGAATCGTAATCAATGTTGTCAAAAACAGTAGCATGTAACACTAGTACACAGATCTGTAGAACAAGTAGGTTACAGAATGAAATGAAATACGCAAACACTAGCCATGAAGAAGTCTATACTATTTTATTCAGTAGTCGTTACATTTTCACAAAGTCATGCTAAAAACATCCATAAGAACACTAGACAAAGTTATCATAGAGCAATGATTATTAATGAAAACTATAACAGTAATATGGATTGTTGCATGAATAATAAACAACTGATAAAATTATCCACCCCTAATCTATAGTAAATATTAACAATGCAATAAATAGACTATGGTATAATTTTACAGTGTTCATCCTTTCAAAACAGAAAACATCTTTCACAAACATCTACATCTCTGACTCACCTCACTAATTGTCAAACCCTGGCTATGGCCATGATAGTAAGTTTTGATTTGCAACAGAATGAGCATCCTCTGATGATTGGTCTCATATGTGCTAAGTAGACCAAACAGTTATCTCTTATTTCATGCCAAATTAATAAAGTCATTGACACAGACTGCTATGACTTTGAGCCATCCAGTAAAACACTCAAATCTGCAAAGCAAGCCACATCACAGAACAAGGAAAGTTTGCAAATGAACTGCATGCGTAAGAGTTGCATTACCATTTATTTTAGCCATCTGAGACAGAAAACATAATACTAAAGTAATGCATGTAGGCCTATGTATGTGTGTACTGTAAATAATTCAAATATGTGCTAAAAAAATTTATATTAATTTAGTTTACTTAATCAAACGTGTCATAGAACCTTGGGGGGGAAGTCTAGGGGTGGTGGTACTAACCTACCTCCCTGAGATGAGTTTTTGCAGGGTGGGATGTCTGGTAATGTAAAAATAAATGTAGGCCTACAGTTTAAAGACTCCTAACCTTTCGTTCTGACTTCCTTCGGGGAGGTTCAAGGTTTAATTAGGTATGGCGTTATTTTAATGACAAATGTCGAGAGCGCATTATTGTAGCGCGAAAGCACATTAATACAATGCGCGAGCGCGTATCTCTCCGCTCGCGCGCATTTTCTTTGCTCTCGCACAACCTCCCTGAAATTAGTTTTTGCAGGGTGGGATGTCTGTGATTATAAATAAATATTTAAAAATATTGTGCAAGATACTGCATATGTCACAGACATACCAACTCATTAACCACCGACACCAGATCACAATCACCAGATTACTGATTACGGACACCTGATTCCACTTACCATACCCTTTATCAAACCTCTCACCTCATTCCCTCGTCGACTGGTCTCAAGGTTGCACACCTTCTTCACTCTCTCCACTTATCTGTCTGGATTAGTGATGCAAAGCCCGATTCATTTATGCGAACCGGTTCTTTTCGGACAGATCGGCTCATTGAACCGGTTCAAAAAGCCGATTCATCGGTTCCTGACGTCATCAAGCAATAACGTCTATGCATTTCTTTTCTAACAACTCAATGCAGTGTTATATCAATGAAAAATTCAAATAAGTAATTTGTGTCAACACATATTGAAACATTCAAAAAATAAAGTTATTTGTGTGAAAGCATATTGCTGATTATTACCATATAATTCACTTAAGTTAATGGTGTTTGTGGTCAGTTTCTTTCGTGGATCCTTTATGTCAGATACGACTGACTGACCAATATTGACTAGCCTACAACTCGGATAAGATTCCTAAAACTTTCACACCTACAGCACACATTACAGACATTGATGCACAAACGCGGATATGTTCTACGTCTACCGTATAAAGAATGAATAAACCAGTCTTATAAACTCCTTGATTTCGCTTAAGCAACTTTAAATATAATATGCATGCACAATAAACTATTGTAAAATTTATTTACATCACTCGACAGTTTTTTTCAGGTTTTAATAAAATGTAAATTAATAACATTAATTATTATTCTTACATTAATTAACATTAATAACATGAACTATTATTATGCTTATCATAATAAGCATATTTCCAGTACGCGCCTCACAGTATCGTCAACTCAAACAGGATCTTCGGTAATCCTCGGCAAACTTCGCCACGGCTCATTCGGTTCTTGTTGAGTCCTCGGTAATCCTCGGCAAACTTCGCCACGGCTCATTCGGTTCTTGTTGAGTCCTCGGTAATCCTCGGCAAACTTCGATAGTTGGTTGAACCGGCTCAATCGGTTCTTTTTGAGTAGGACCTGGTACTTCGGGCTGTGCGTCCTGCGTCATCAACCCGGAACTAAAGTTCGATTCAGTTTGATTTGTGAACCGGCTCAACCGGTTACTTCCTGAGAACCGGCTCAAAAGAATGATTCGTTCAAGAACCTAACATCACTAGTCTGGATTCCCATGGCTCCATGTCTCTCACTCTCCTGTGGACTTTCCCCGAAAGCATTAAGATAAGGACTGATATTGCTCAGTTTTATGAGCTTCAGTGACTGTTTATGTTTGAACTTTCCGTTTTGAATATTCTTTCAGTTTGTGGCAATAAAGAAGCTCCGAATCTATCATTCATTGTATGCCTCTTTATCCAGTTGTGACAGCATACTTATAAAAGTTAGTTAAATTAATTTCAATAAAGTATCACAAACTGATCAGGGGAATTTTGTTTCAAAATCTTAGTTTGAGGCAAGCTTTAAAATGTTGCTAATGAAAAAGACTTTGTTTGGAACTTGTGTCTATTTTGAGGCAAAAATGTTCTGCTTACACAATCTGCAGTCACACCATTCTGGGGCATAACAAATTATTTCCTCTATATTCTCGTGAGACTGTTGAAGTTGGGTTTAATGAATGTATTCCTTTTTTCATGCTGACTTGGGGAAATTGTTGTATTGATTCATACCTAAATGTACATAGAGCTGTTCAGCATAAACTGCGTAGATAGAGACTGCTGTGATTCATCAATGTTCATTAATTCACAACATTTTGTAACTTTATCCTGCCACACAATTTAATATAGGATAATTTACTCACATTTCAGAAAATTTATAAAAAATAGATAGTAGGCTAACTAAAAGTCTTCAGTATAAGATGCAATTCAGTTATCTGTACAAAGGAAGGGCTTTATGCAAACACATATAAGGACATTTAAAAAAGAAACCTGAACTGCAACCCCAAAACCCACATACAATAAACATAACTCGAGATATATAAATATATTCACCTTAATAACTGATACATTTTCTAGTTGATGTGTCATTACAAGACAAATTGTAAACAAAAATGCAATTCAAGCTACTTTTTTTCTCTCTCATGCACTAGTCAATTTTGAGATTCTGGGCTATTTTGTGTCCATAACATGTCTTCTATCAGACTAGTGGAAAGGTTTATTTTATTACACAATTATTCATTTGTATATTGAGTACAATACATTTATTTTCTCAAAATACGATTTTTTTCTGCTGCACTGACCCAGAAATCTCCACAGTATTTACATACACCAAATTTTGCAGGTTTATTCCTATATTCTGAAGGTTTTCAAAGAAGTGTTTGTTAATATAACATTCATCTGATTTATATACAATTTAATTCCTAAAAACATGGTGGGTTTTTTTCTGACTGTTGAAAGCATTTTCTGATTCCAAACCCCCTTTGTAAAAACCTTTAACTCTAATATGTGAAATAATAGTTTTAAACCTTGCTTTATCCAGTGTTCAAATTTGTGTTCTGGAAACTGGTGCATTTATTTAATTAATTAATTTGCATATTTAAGCATAATACAGCGTCTTAACGTACTTTGACTAATTAACTGGGGGAGTATGGTAATATCTATAAGTTAAAATTCGCCTATTCCTAGAATAAACCCTATTCATGTGTGGTATACCATAAGTTGACTGATTGGATCTGAAAAAAATTAACAGACAATAACATCTCGGTTACGTATGTAACCTTGGTTCCCTGAATAGGGAACGAGATGCTGCGATGACATCATCGCTATGGGAACACCTCCGGTGTGACGAATGTCTGAAGCCCTTATACCATCACGCCAATTTATTGGCCAATAGCGCTTAGCACCGCCCAATTTATTGGCCTATAGCGCTTAGCACCGCCCCAAGTATGCTCATATATGCGTATTTCATCAGATTTTACACTATGACGAAGGAAGTGCTATCGAAGGTACGGAACTCCCAGCATCTCAGCATCTCGTTCCCTATTCAGGGAACCAAGGTTACATACGTAACCGAGATGTTCCCTCTTATAGGTTCACTTCAATGCTGCGATGACGTCCTCACTATGGGAACGCTATACCATCTCGCCTGACGTACCTAAGATAGCTGGAAGACCAAGGAAAGAGTCTGCTCAAACGGAAGAGACCCGGGAGCCAAGAGCCATCCTCACGTCCAGACAAGTAGAACTTGATGAAAGTGCTAGGAGAGGACTAACCTGCCACAGCACAGACATCTCCCATCAAAGGCCCTTTAAAAAGAGCCTGAGAAGAAAACATTGCTCTCGTAGAATGAGCACGCACCTCTAGAGGCGAAGTCACACCACGCACCTCATAGGCTAGAGGTATAGTCACTATCTGACCCCACATAGCAGGGGAGAAAGCCTCAATCTGTGCTGGGCGGAAAGGCCTAAGGCCCCCTCGTCCCTGCATGAAACAGGAAACCAGCAGATTGTGTCCACTTAAGGGCATACAGCGTCTCGTGAAGGGAGCTCTAGAATTAAGAATAGTGTCGGTAATCTCTGCCAAGAGACCGGAACACATTTCAACTCTGCTCAGGGGTCACACCCATTAGTTCCAAAAATCCTGATGGGGATGTCCAAATCATGCCCCGAACCTGAGTCAGCAGGTCGTGTCTGAGGGGAACCTCCCAAGGGGGCCGGCTAACAAACTGACCAATTCTGAGTTTTAACCACGTATGAGAGGGCCAAAACGGCACCACCAACAACAGACGTTCACTCTGACCAACCTTACACTGAACAGAATCGTTTGGGAGCAAACGGGTCGACTGGAAGGCATAAGACTGGTCCTGGGCCATTCTTGGTTCTTGGGCTACACACCCAGAGGCGACGGAGGAGACAAGGAAACCAGAGCGGGCAATGCGCATGCTCTATTCTCTATTTAACAAATCCACTTCCGCTCGGCCAAACCTCTGCCATATGAGACTCACCACCTGAGGGTGCAATCTCCATTCTCCAGCCTCCAACTCTGTCTCAAGAGTAAGTCCATTCCTGAGTTCAGGTGACCCAGGACATGAACTGCTCTGATCGACAGGAACCTGGTCTGCGTCCAAAGAAGAACATCTCACCAACCTGCACAGGGGGCGAGAGCGTAATCCTCTCTGACAATCCATGTATG